TTGATCAAATAGCATAGAAAAATAGAGCGAAAGACGCTCTATCTGTTCATTAAAAGAGAAATGTTTTTGAAGCGCTCCTTAAGAAAATAAAGTACCTCCCTCACTACTTTTGGATTGCCCTAAGTATGTCTTATCAATCGATAACTCCTATCGATTCAAACAAAGAATGACCACCGATATTTTTTGAATAACTTTTCAACGAAAAGAGCTAGAATCTTCCGGTTTTCAACATTCGACAGTGGACACTTTGTAGAGTAGATCCATGAAAAAATTCAGGCTTCGGATCAGGTTTACCATGGTAAGACATTCCAAGCTCAATATGAGCATATGTTTTTGAAAAGACAAGTCGTTTGACTGTTTTTCTTTTTGTAAACAATACTCTCGTTGTCCTTTTCTTACACCGCACATAGTTCGCTGTGTAACGACCACTTTATTTTTACTCTTCTTCTCTTAACTGATCAAAAAAATTTATTAATGTGTAAAGACGAACTAGAATCATCGATCTGTTGGGACTTTGTGAGTATTTTCAAATGACAATCTTTTATATTTGAAAGAGTGATAGAAACTATTTTATATTAACAACATATCCTATTGTTTCAAAGTAAAGGCAATTTATTACAGGATTTGCGTAAAGAATCTACAGAGTTATCAAAATAAGTTTGTTAATAATGTTAAATATGAATCAAAGTACCTTTTCTACTCTATGACAAAGATTGAATCTTTTTTTCTTTTGGTACAGCAACAACAACAAATCATAAATATCCTCCTCCGACAACATCAAGAGCAATAAAAAAAACTAGAAATAAAGAACATTAAACCTTTTTTTGTAAATATGATCAAAAATAAAAAAATATCACCAACTTTTTTCTTATTGACTTTATACAATAACAATGGATAGCTTAAATGATTGATCTTCCGCGTCTGAATATTGTTGTCAGTGCTAATAAAGTTTTAACAGTATTGTAGGATTGCTTCTTGTTCTCATGAAAGTTGACTCTATTTATAAATTCTCTCTGTGTCTTTTTGTGTTTTTTCCTTTCTTTTGAAGTTGAAGGAAGAATAAAACAAAAAACTAATGGATTAATGGAGATTGTTCACTATACTTGTTTAACAACTGAAAACCGTCGTTTATTCTGTACATTCTTTCAGTTTAATTGCTTGGTGATGAATAATCAACGTGACTGTTGCCAAAATTGCATTTGTCAACATGAAAATGTAAACTGTCGAAAATATTTGAGACAATCAATTTATAGAGTTTTCCCTTATATTTAAAATGAAGTAGCGCTCAAAAAATCCAACTTTAATTCACTTCACAGGAGGTGACACATGGATTATTGTGCTTTTCTTTTTTCAAAGGGTAAAAGCTTGGATTTATCGGTTATTTTACACACAGCATCTAATAAGAACACGTGTAGAAAATATTAACGTGGAGATAACAAATGAAAAGTAGTGGTCATCTCCTAACACGTAATTCCTACATGACACATTTTTATAGTTATGTCTTAGATTTTCTTTTCATTCTTCAGATGCATCTGGCTCCATGTGACAAATTTGATGTCATACATATTCTGAGAGCGTCAAAAAATGATAGTCCATTTTTGATGATTCCCTGCACACTGTGTGTTTGTCTGAGAGAACTGGATGTTTCTCCACTATCATGACAAAGGCATTGTTTGCTCGACTAGTGTACTTCCAGGCTGCGAAAAAGATGGTTCTTTCGTGCACTTTTTTCGGTTTTTAGGGACACAAATTCATTGGATGCAAGTTTGGCATTTGAACAAGGATCAAATGGGGTTTAATTTTCTGTTTTCCTTTTTTTTATGATCTATTGTAGTTACTGAGATATTCATTATTCTACACTACGAAATGTGCTCTCTATACTGTAGAATAGTGAATATTCCAGTAACTACAATAGATCATAACAAAAGGAAAAGAGAAAATAAAATCCCCTTCGATCCTTGTTCAAATACCAAACTTTCATCCAATGATTTTGTGTCCTTAAAAACCTAAAAACACACTGGAAGTCTACTAATGATTTGATGAGTCATCGTGGTCTGCAAGTATATTAGACGAACGCATTAAAATTTGATTGCACTATGTTCTCGAAGTTTTACTCGTCCGAGTAAAACATAGTGGAATCAATCGTATATAACAAAACGGTGACTGTATTAGCAATTTAAAGTAGCAGTATACGACGAGAATCGACCGTATATGACGTTTTACGACGTCGTATTTCGACGTAGCCCATCGTAAACGGTCGCATCCGTTCCAGGCAAAATACGACGTCGTAATCCTTCTCCACGGTAGACGTCATCGTATTTCGTCGTAAACAGCGTCGTATTTTGACGTATACTACAGTATCCATCATCGTAAACTGCAGTATCATTCATCGTAAACTATAATGTACCGCCGTTTACGGCTGTCGTAATCATCGTCTTGGTAAGAGTTTAATATAAGAATATTATTTATTTATTTTACTTGCTCCTAGTATAAAATTAAACTATAGGACGTTTAAACAGTTTATATACGTGAAATGAGTATGTCTCGGATTGAAGAACCTGCTTCGGTGAGGCATGAAGTCAGGATTGTTGATATGCTGTTATTAGTTAGACTGGAAATAATCATGTCATTACTCATAGGAGGCTTTTCCCAAATTAGTCGTGTTGCATTGACGACAAGAAACGTTACTCAAACATTGGTCTTTCTTTCTTTACGTGAGAAAAATGTATTTGTTTAGGCCAACAGGTGAAGATTCTGTCAACTTATTTCTTCTATAGCAACGAAAATTTTTTTGTTCTGATTAGTTAAAAGAGCACATTGACATTCCCTAAAAAAAATGTTAAATAATTCGTTTGCGATTCGTGGACCACGAACTAAGTTGTACGTTAATACATGACTCTTTGGTGTTATCAAACGTGGCTGATTTCTAATGACATCCACCCCCGAACTACAGGAAAAGGTTTGCTTAACTTTTCTTTCGCTGTATCAGTAGATATTTCGATCATCTCTCTGAATGTTTTCTCTCTGGTGGTTAAAAAATAACATTCTGTTTTCTCTTATCCATGGAGTATCTGAGAGGCATTTTTCCACATTTTCCACACACATACTCACAAAACACTTTGTAAGATCCTAAACAAATTAATTGATATAGGGAACTAAATCTTTAACTTTTCGAAAAAGAAATTTTTTTCTCGATTTTGTATTATAGGAAACTAAATCCTCGGGAACTAAATCATGTAAGCCCTATTATAGACGTCTGCTTTATCTCATTTCCTGCAACGGAACGGAACCTAGTCAAAATATTCTTTTCTTTTTTATATAAACGTTTCTGTTTCAAAGAAAAAATAACAGAACAAATCGAGACAGTTGTCACATTACATGTTCATAGTTTGCTTTAATGCATCACTAAGAAATCTCAAGTTTATATTGTTGCTGCAAAGATGCAGGAGAAAAAAGTACATGTGCATTTTTCTAAAGATGCTCTGAAAAACCGGCTTCGAAGATTTTTTCTAAAATTTCGTTTTGCTTATGGAAAGGTAGCTTCAAGTCTTGGCCATCGAACGGTGAAAACTGCAAGTCTTTATCTTTTTATTCAAAATTATTTCGAATTATTCAAACACTAATGATCGACCTTCCTTTTTGGAACGGATAGTAGCTATGTTAAAGAAAAAGCTGAATTTTAAGAAAATAAAGAGACTAACAGACGCGAAACGTTTTTTCCATTAATCGCCAACGTTAGCATTATATAATCTAATAACGAAAAAAAGATCTCATTCAAATTCAATTTTCACTCACATCGTATAATAGCAGCGCAAATCGCACAGGGAACAAGAGAGCCCGAGTCCGTGAAACTGTTCGGCCTATGACAAAATTTTCGAAAAAATTCTAAAAATCTCAGAAAATATTTCAACTTTCGCGATATCGAATGGTGTATGATCTGTTAAAATTCTTTTTTTATTCATAATGACACTGTCATTTTAATCTCACGGGACATTTTACTAGTAAAAGTGATTTTTCTCAGGAACGACAAAATATATTAAGCCTTAAAGTTGGGCACTTACTCTACAAAAAACTGTGAGAAAATCGCCGAGAAAACTAGAGTATTAACAGAGATTTCGGAAAAAATAGCTTTGGTCTGTTACTTCTTTTTATCAAAATGATTCTCAAAGTGTGGACTACCTTTTGGTAGAGCGGTCCTTTTTAACGGTAGAAGGCATAGGTTAGACAAATAAAAGAAAAACAAGATAGAGAAAGTCTATTCAGTACAAGAAAAGTTAATGCATTTTTATTTATCGGAGATCGACGGTACAATACACACGCAAATCGCACGCATATGAAAGAAAGACAAAGTCCAAAAAACACATACGCTACAAAAAACTGAGAAAATCGCCGAGAAAACTAGAGTATTAACGGAGATTTCGGAAAAACAAAATCGAAAATCTCACCAGACATTTAGTGTGCGAAGCACGTTTTTGAAAACGTAATTGTCACTTTTTACAGTAAGAAGAGCATTGGTCTGAGCAAAAAGATGGTTAATCTCAAGAGCAATATATGTATAGTATTGTAATTTAGCTGCATTTATATATTGAATCTCATGCTCAAACGTGTTAGTTCCAGTGATAATAGCTTTGATGATGATGATGGTGACGATGGAACAACTGATAACAGCAAAGATGATGAAGTTGAAGATGTTGAGAATGATGGTGGTGAAAATCAACATGTGGGGGATCTTTATTATAATCCCAAAAGTCGAAGATGGAAACAGTCTGATGACGACAACTGAACTATTGAAATAGTAACGATTTTAGTTTTTTTCTATTTTTTTTATAAACATGTTTTTTGCTATTTGTATATGTAATAAAAGATAATTGGTATTGTCTTAATAAAGCTTTCTTTTTTCTTCATATTTGCTTGCAATTATATCATATAAACTGATTTACATAGGTCGCCTTTCGTTACATCAACTCTCAGTACGGTTTTCTGAAAGGTGGAAACACTTCAAGGTGCTTATTCCAAATAATCCATTTATCAATAATCATTTGATTGGAATAGCTTAAACTGTATACTGTCCGATCATTTCTTACAATAATAAAAAGATCTTCGGATAGAAAAAAAGAATTTTTTCAATTAAACCTAATTTTTTTAACGAAAAAATTTTTTTTTTGATAAAAATATGGTTTTAATGACACACCAACTTTTTTGTCGAAAATCCACTTTTTCCAAGGGAATAAACCTGAAAAATCATGTCCATTCTTAATGTCTAGGCTTCATAGCGTTTACTTATACACTTATCTAAAATTTCGTTTTTTTGACGAAATTCGACTTTTTTGAGGGGGCCTTAATGGAAATTATCAAAAATTTCGGTCAAAAATGGGAGCCGAAGAAAAAACCAATAG